GAGAAGTTCCCAACCCTGGTTCTCCTCCCAGGCGGCGACCAAGACAGCATCGTGTACGACGGCGAGCTCAAGAAGGAGGCTATGGTCAACTTCCTGTCCCAGGCCGGATCCCCCAACCCGGACCCCGCGCCCAAGAAGAGCAAGGCCAAGTCCTCCACCCCGAAGAAGCCAGCCAAGAAGGCAGAGGCCGAGCCTGAGACAGAGCCCTCCGCCGAGGCAGAGGAGAAGATTACGGAGCCGGCGGGCGACGATAACATCCAAAAGCCGGTCGTGTTCGAAGGGCCCCTCCCGATTCCCATCATCAACTCGGCCGAGAAGCTGGTCAAGAACTGCCTCAGCCCCAAGTCGCACACCTGCGTCCTGGCCTTCGTCCCCAAGGAGAACCGCGGCGAGTCGGCCGACAAGGCCCTGTCCTCGCTCGCACAGCTCGCCCACAAGCACCAGGGCAAGCGCCAGCTGTTCCCCATGTACGAAGTGCACACGGACGACGCGCACTCCAAGGACGTCCTCACGGCTCTTGAGCTGTCGGGGGAGGTCCAGGTCCTAGCCGTCAACGCCCGCCGCGGCTGGTGGAGGCTGTACGAGGGTGAGGACTTTGGCCACGAGAGCATCGAGAGCTGGGTGGACCAGATCCGCATGAGCGAGGGCGTCAAGCGCAAGCTGCCCGATGGCGTCGTCGCTGCCGTTGTGGAGGAGACCGAGGCTTCTTCCGAGGCTACTCCGGAGCCTTCCCCGGAGCCCACGCCCGAGGCCACCGAGGGTGAGGCTGCCGAGAGCAGCGCCACCCCTGAGCCGGAGGTCACCCCGGAGGCGGAGAAGATCTCGGACAGCAACACTGAGGAGGAGACGTCTTCGAAGGGTGCAGACCCTACCATTCAGGAGGAGACTGCGGAGGAGAAGCCGACGGAGGCGGCCCATGACGAGCTTTAGGAATGGTCATAGTCACTAAGGAGTGAGTGTAATGTTAGCCGGCGTCTTGGTTTGGGATCGATCCTTTTGTTTATATTAAAATCGAGTGGGCGAAACGCCTTGTGGCCTGAAGGGATGAATGAGATGATGTCTCGAGTCGAATTGAAATCGGAATGGTTTTTCTTACCTGACATCCTATCCATGCTTTCCGGGGTATCATGACCTCACATCCCAAACAACTGTCCCTCATAACGAACAACCAAACTCTCAAGAAGCCCGTGAACCCTTATGTCCCCGTCTCTCAAGCTCAAATTACCCATCAATCTCCATCTCGTCCACCCCAACGCCCTTCTCAACGGCCCCCTCCCGAATCATCCTCGCGCCCCTTTCCCGCACACACTTATCCAATATCTGCCGCACCTGCTTACACCCATCAACACCCACAGCAAGCATCCCCTCAAGCCGCGAGACCTGCACCCGGCTCTCACAGACCAGGACCGCGACGCGGTCCCCCTTCGCGCCCAGCGTCGCGACCGTGAGGCTTGGGAGCTCCTGCTCCTCCTGGTGGTTGAGGTCCAGCAGCGGGTCCGCATTGTCGTCGCCCGCGGCGTGGGTCGATGTCGAACCCGCGGTGCACGCGGCGACGTAGTCTGTCATGGGGATCCCCGCGTCCACTGCGGCGAGGGTGCACGCGTTTATCAGGGCCGCGAGGAGGGAGCCGTCCTGGGAGAGGACGTGGAGGGAGAAGGTTATTGAGCTGTGGGGGTAGAGGTGCGTGTGGAGGGTTGAGGAGAGGGCGCTGCTTAGGGTTGATTGCATCTCTGAGATGCGTCTGTTGGTGCGTTGCGCCATGTTAGTCTTCTCTTCAATTGGTCTCCAACCTTATGTTCTGTTCTGTAGGGTATGTGTGGTGAGGATGATGGTGATGGTTACATACTTGTCGCCCCGTCCCCTCCGTTTCCGGTCGACACTGCTGAACCCGGCGATCACTATGCTCACAGAAACCTCGGCCTCCTTGTCCTGCTCGGACCGCTGCCCTCCTCCTCCTCCTCCGCCTCCCGCGCGCCGTGCGGACTGCTGGTCGGTGGGGCCCGTCACCACGCACATGACCTTGGTGTTGCCCATCTCGAGGTAGCTGGACCCGTCGGCGGCGGCCTGGGTGCGGATCTGGGCGTGGCACCTGCGCAGCTCGTTCCACCGCCTGCCGTCGACGCGCAGCAGGGCGAGGGAGTAGGAGGATGTGTCGAGGGGCATTGCGCTGGTGATGGTGGTGGTGGTGTGTGATGGCGGTACAGCTTGGTTTTGGGTTACCCTGAGGGAGTACAAGAGGATTCGCTAGGTCTCTGGGGTTTGTGGGAGGTGGGCTTGTATCGGAGGAGTGTGAGTTTGTTGACAATTGTAGGCGTGCAAACGGCAGAGTCGCGGGCGATGATTGAAGCTCGGGAAGCTTGATGGAAATTTTGGTGGGGCTGTTTTGGGTGCAGGGGTCCCCCCACCTGAGCAGGGTCAGGGGTGTGCTCTCTTACAGCATCGACATGACGCGGGGAAAGCATCGACGAGGCGATGATGGTGTTCGACTTCTACTTATGCATCCAATCCTTTGTGCTTTCCAGGTTATTTCGTCCAGCAAGCCTTGTTCAAGCCAGAAACTTCACACCATTCAAAATGCCCAATCCTGTTGATACCAGCATAGAACCTCATACCTCAGGCCTGGCCGCCAAATTCGCCGCAGCCCACTCGGCAGAGCACCCCCTCAAGCTGTACGGCGGCTGGTTCTGCCCTTTCGTGCAGCGGTCCTGGATCGTCCTCCACGAGAAGAAGATCCCCCACCAATACATCGAGATCAACCCATATCACAAGGCCCCAGAGTTCCTGGCCCTCAACCCGCGCGGCCTCGTCCCTACCCTCGGCGTGCCGGTTGGCAGCAGCGGAAAGGAGCAGAAGCCACTGTACGAGAGCCTGGTGCTTTGCGAGTACCTGGACGAGGCCTATGCGGATGGGAGTAAATTCGGGGAGAGGCTGCTCCCCGAGGATGCATATGAGAGGGCGAGGTGTCGGCTATGGATCGACCACATCAGCACCAAGATTATTCCTGGGTTCTACAAGTTCCTCCAGCACATTCCGGATAAGGCTTACAGTATCGAAGATGCGAGGGGTGAGTTCCTAGGCAACATCAAGACTCTGGTGGAGCAAATGGACGGCAGTGGACCGTGGTTTCTTGGGGAACGTTTCAGCCTTGTCGACGTGATGCTCGCGCCGTGGGCTAAGAGGTTGTTCTTGATTGATCACTATAAGCCTGGGGGTGTTGGAATTGACGAGAAAAAGGCCAATGATCAAGAAATTTGGGCGAGGTGGCAGAAATGGTTCGATGCCATCGCCTCTAGACAAAGTGTAAAGGAGACATGGAGCGATGATGAGCAGTATATTGCGGCTTACAAGCGGTATGCCGAGGATACAACTGGATCAATGGTTGGGCAGGCCACGCGCAAGGGAGAAAGGCTACCTTAGGACTTCCGGTTGGACTTGAAATTTGAGGTGGTCATCCTAACATACCACTGATGTACGCCATGACAACGACATCCTCGTCGACAGATTTGCATTTTCCCCCGGACATGTAAGCCTGTGTTCCTCCTCTAGAGCTTATTACGCAAATTTGGACATATTACTCTTCTCCGTCAAAAGTCTGTGGGAGGAAAACACCCCAATATGAGCTCACATGAAATTCTACGGAATGGGCTGTGAGGGTAAAGTGCATTATAGCCAAGGCTATCAATTTGGTCACTATCGAGGATTACCACATTCATTCAAGTCAGGCAATTCCAAGACTGCCTGTCAGCAGACACACTGACGACCATGGACAGCGATGTCGCCCGAGCACCAAGCCAGGCCGAAACCATGACTTGCTCTGTTGCATGCAGGCTCACTACTATCAGTCAATTCTTCACTTGTATCAGTCCATTTGGGAAACAACCGAGGTCCTTGCAACTCTCAGTCCACTCATTCAGGAGCTGACCACGGCGTGTAGCACGGTCACGGATTCAGAATCGCCGTGGCGCTCACTCCGAAGAGCAATATACCGTCACTGCCACACACCATCCACCGGGAGAGTGAATTACAAATCGCTTTATCATTTACAGGCTGCACGTTTGGTCTTGCTCACTGCCCCGATGATGACTTGGGACATAGTGAATCATAAGTTAGCCTTCTATAAAACCCCGCGAAACTTTCGGCCTGTCAACTCCCAGCTGTCTCTCTCCCTGCACAACAAAACCACAATCAAGTTCAAATCCACACAAGAATCAATAGCAACACGTTTCAATCGTCCAACACTCAACAACTCAACCATCATACCTGTCAAGATGCACGCTTCCACCAAGACTACACACGTTCTCTGTCGCGAGACCTGTCTGGGGTGCGGCAAGGACAACAAGAACTGCACATGTGTTGCAGGAAATTAGTCAAACGCAGAGGTGCGGGTGGTCGGACTCATTCAAATGCGCTCGGCGATCTGGAAATGGCGGCGCAACCTGGTCTGCTTTAATCGTATGGACAGAATAAGGTGTTCATTACAAACTCTGTAGAGCAGACATCAATCGCATTACAGTTTCAAAACCCATATTACTATGCGAATGATATCAATGTTGAGTATCAGACTGACTTTGCATTTGAAGCTGGGAAGATATGCTTCCGAGGGAGCAATATACTCCCCACATAGTTATCACCGTACCCACCTCTCGGGACACCGATAGCCCTAAGTCATTGTTGATACCCAAGATACATCCCAACTTATACGTCCCAACTCCCAAACAGCCCAGAAATATTTCAAATCCCCTGTCCGCCCCCAAAGTCACGAGAGCATCATCTGACCTGCCTGCATAGTGATAGGACGAGCGGTGCTATAGGAGATACAGAAATCCTGCCCTGCTCGGTCCAGTGGACCGATGGTGTCCCTGTCCCTGCCCTCCTCGGTGTCCCCGCCCACGGCCTCGACTCGCGACTCCACAACGGCGCCTGCCCGTGATCCACCCGCGATACCCACAAACAGCAAATTTTCTCTCATCACCACCACCACCGGACCCGGGACCATCATAGGGCGTCTAGCTCAAATGGTAGAGCGCGCGCTTAGCATCAGTCTTCTCTTCTATCAAGAGAGATCATCATGCGCGAGGTACACGGTTCGATCCCGTGGTCGTCCATTTTGCCTATTCCGAGTCCTCTGGGGGCAAGCAATTAAGCTCCTCGGGGGTGGATTCACTTTTACACATCCAGGTACTCTCCTGGAAGGCTCAGATGTACCCGGACTTGTATGCATTCGGTGGGAGAAGGCATAATTTTTGCGTATTTCCACTGCCGGTATATACCCGTGGTGCCTATCCGCACCTAGATAGGCTTGGGAGCTAGTCGCATCTCAAACCATTGTACTTGCCCTTCCCAAACTATTATACTTGTCCTCGGAACACCCACCGAGCCGGTTGCCTCCAAGGTACGCGATTCGTCCTAAGAAACATGCAGAACCGAACACTTGATCTCAAATCTGGTTATTTAGCTTTACAGTTGGGACTCCTTCAGCGCGGCGGCCGGGTTCACTATGCTATTAATACCCTGCAGCAAGGGCAGGCCCGCATAAACCGGGGAAACGTTTTCCTTGTTCTGGGGCCCTTAGTGCGCCTGGGCAGCTGCGAGAAGGTCTTGGTCCTGCATATCCTGCATATCCTGCATATGCATCTATGTGCATACTAATGATATCACGGGAAACTTGAAACGAGTTGGGAGAAAGCTGCGATTGGTCTTGAATGTTGCCAGGCAAGCAACCTTCTGACGCCTTCGAAATGCAGTCCCAATCTGGCAACCTCGGCATAGATCTCAAACGTCAGTGGCTGGTAGCAGATAATGATGTACAGGAGATCCTCCTATAGGGCTTAGGAAGTCGGCCATACCCGGCTGTACTATTGCAGCTTGCCGTCGTGGTACCGTCTCCTGTCAGCCTGTCAGTGTTCGAGATTATTCCCTCACGGGAGTTAATCCTATAGGGAGACCTCTGGCAAGCAGATCACGCGCTAATGTTTGAGCTGCCTGCGGGCCACGGCCTGCATTCGTATACGTTACAGGTAGATCTCTCCGTAGCGCGGCCGCCAGGGCCGTTGCGCGCAAGGATTGGGCAAGCCGCCTCCCCTGGCCGCCCGGGGCCCGGGATGAGAATCCTGGGACCCGCATAGACATGCCCGAGAAACGTGGGCATCCGTGTTGCCGGCTGGTGTCAGATAAAACAGACACACGCGGATTACGTAGCAGCAACCAGTGCCGTGCCCTCTGCTGTTATCTCTCCGCCCTCCGGTGACGACGTATGTAGGGTGATGGGTTTTATACGAGGGGCTAAACAATGATAATAAACCTCGCTGCTGCTGTTATCACCGTCGCATCTCCGTGGGCAAAAAGATGGTGGTTGGACGGACCGCTGGGTGCGCGTCACGCAAATTCTTTATAGTTTGGGACACCGAGCCCATGCACCGGCGGCACCGGCCAAGAGACTGCTGCACGTCAGGTGTTGCCGGACTCATGTCCGAGCGCTCTCCCACGCCAGGATAGCATTGACGCAACGCTGCTCGCGGCCTGACAGGCGATCAGGGCGGCGAACACGGCAATTAAGCTCTTACCCTGCAGGTGATAATTGTGCAAGTGGTGCGTGCGATCAGCAGCCGGGGGAGAGGGAGGCGCGCCGCGCATCATTTCTTGTGCTACTTGCTTGACTAACTGGATGGACACTTGTCCCTTATCTGGTCTACGGCCCCGGCCGCCGGCGGTAAAGTCCAAAAAGAGATGATCCTTCTCGTCTCGAGTTGTTGTTGTCTTACCTTTTCCCCCAGGTTGCATTGCGGAAGCACGATGGGATGCTACACACTCAACGTTGCATGGATCGGCTGGGACGGCTTGACATCTTCCACCTCCAAACAAACCCCTGACGCTCGATTGCTCATCCACGACGACTTGTTAAACACCAGGTGCTGCTGCCCCACAGCCAGCTGGGAGCGAGTCTGATTCTCTTCCCTGGCATTTGCGCAGCCCTCGTTTAATCATAGTCGATCAATGTTGTTCTAATCCTCATTCTTGTTTAAAAAGGCGCATATGCCCGCCCACAAGGGGGCTTCCGCCGTCATGAGTACCGGGAACGCGACACTGGATGCAGTGGGCGCCGCTTCCGGGGCGGCTACTATCGCGCTGGCGGTCGAGTGGATCGCATACCTCGTCATAATAATAGTTATCACGGCCTTGCGCACCTACGCGCGGGCCAGCATCCCGGGACGGAGTGGTTTTGGCTGGGACGACTACCTTGTCTGGATCGCAGTGGTGAGTCCTCTTTTTGTTTTATCCCGCCCTGCCCTCGTTTAGCCGCTTGCTGACCGCTTACAGGTCTGGTATGTTATCCTCACCGCCGAGGTCTACGTAATTGGCGTCACGGCAGTTGGCATTGCAAACGACTCCATGTCAAACGAATACCGCGCTCGACTCGCAAACGACGGCCCTGGGAGCGAAGAATTCGGTCTTCGAGTACTTGGATCCAAAGTGCAGCTAGCCGCATGGATATCATATTCTCTCGTTTTGTGGCTGTTGAAAGGATCTCTCCTTTGTTTCTTCGTGGTCCGGCTCACCGTAAGCTGCCCAATTTTTATCCACCTGTCTTGCTAGTTTTGCGTAGGATCAGATGCTAACTGAGCGCAGGAGGGAATCACCGGAGCAAGAACAAGGGCGTGGGCTGGTACAATCCTTCTAGTCGTTACTTGGGTTTCCATCGTTGTTACCGTCCTCGCAAGTTGTCGGCCACTCAACAAGATGTGGCAAATCTTTCCTGATCCAGGGCCAGTCTGCTATGCTGGCGTCTCACCGGTTTTGATCGGGGTCACGCTCGCCGGCAACATCTTAACAGACATTTACCTTATTTCCATACCAGTTCCCGCGCTACTGCGGGCCTCACTTGGGAGAGTACAGAAGATCTCCCTCGTCAGCCTCTTCAGCTGTAGCAGCCTTATCACAGCTATGGCAATCGTCAGGGTAGTTGTTATCGTTGTTGTAAGAAGCTCTCGGACGCCATCCCTGGTCCCTCCTCGCTAACCTGCCCCAGAATTCGAACAGTAACGGCGACGGTGCGTGGGCCCTACGAGAATGCTTCGTGGGTATGGTGACGACGAATTTGGCACCTATAATTCCGCTATTCAGAAAATGGCTGTCGCCCTGGCTGGGACGACTCGAGTCCACCTCCGACGGCAACACGAATCAGGGGACCGGGGCTGCGAGCAGTCGCACGATGAAATCGAGGAATCGAGACCCCAAAAGTCCAGCGCTCAGGCTGATGACGGCTGGGCGACACCACAGCTCAGACAGCTCGGAGCATATCATAGAGGCCAACGACGTCGAGATGCAATCGTACAACAGTCCGAACGCGCGCCATACACCATCCGATTCGTCTCTGGATAGGAAGCAGACAGAAATGTCGGCGCGTGAGAATGGATCAAACAGCCCGACGCTGATCATCCAGAGGAACAGCGAGATGCTGACTCCAGGAGAGGGCGAGCGCGACGCGACATTCCACAAGGGTAGGCCTGAACGAGATGTGCAAGTTCAAGACTTGTCGATCCGGGAAAGGGATTTCACGAAATAACGAAATGATATGATACATGATTTGAGCGTAAATACCCAAGCGTTGCATCAGAAGTTCTCCAGCCCAGCATGAACACCAAGTTGAGGTACATCGGATAAAAGTGGACGGCGTCAGTGTCTCGCTCAGACGGATCGACGTCGCGCGGTGAGTCAATTATGCAAGGAATAAGCAGGACGATAGAACTCCCGAGTCGCGTAGCAAGTGTGGAAAACGAAAACGAAAACGTATGAGTAATAGGTAAAATCCGCCCGCATTACGCGTACTGGCGCGTGGTTCTCGATTTTACGAGCAAGTCGAGTACGAGAAGTCTGAAATATAAGAAATGAGTAGTCCAAAGGTCGAGAAAAGACATAGGTTGCTGATCCACAAGTTCTTGAAAGTGGGAGACGGAATATGGTGGCTAGCGGATAGGTTGTGGTTGTTTTATCAGGAATCACCTGGAATAAAATACTGACGTAAAAAGAATTCTTATTGACTACGAGGAGAAGAAATGTTTGTGACCTGGGTCTTAGGACCCAAGCCCATGGTGCCCTGCCTCATGCTCCCGAACCTCGAACCAGAGGAACCCGAGTAAGTCTTACCCGTCCAAGAAGACACCCTACTCATTGCTGGTGGAGTCTATGGCGACCTGGGAAGTCACGGGGGAAACTTCCGATTTCTCAAGCTTCGAAGGGGTCTTTCCGAGCCAGCAGCGGACATCGTCAAGAAATTGGGGGGTCGACTGGTCGGGTTTGTCGACGATGGACTGGAAAATGTCTTCGGCTTCCTCGTGGCCACCGACCCGATAAATAGTCTGCCCCAAACGAAAGCGAGCTTTGCGCCTCAACACAGTGTCAGGAGACTCCGCGGCGAGTTCGAACTTGTCTTTCGCATCCTTGAATTTCTCCGTGTGGTACAGACAGTCCCCGAGCTGGAATTGGCACCACGACCTTGCGTTTTCCACGACCCTGCCAGGGTGATTACCGTCGAGGATCTTCTGAAAAATAGGTAGAGCCTCACGGTATTTGCTTTGCTGTGAAAGAGTGAAGCCGAGGTAGTACTCATTATCCACAGCATGGCTCAATTCATCAGACTCGTGAGCCTGTTTCGCCAGTTCCCGGAACATGCTTGCAGCTTCGCCACGTTGCCCACGTCTCAACTTGATTCTCGCGAGGAAATGCCGGCTGTCGAGCCGTATGCGGTTCCATCTGGCTCTGTTGCCCCTGTATGCCGCTAGGAGACTCAGAGCTGCTGTGAAATATTCTTCGACTGTTTTGGATCCTTTCAATGACCCAGCCTGGTACGCTCGGTATGCCAGGCGACCCAACCAGTACTGGCCAATGGCCTTGATTAGAACAGCGTCGGCGTATGCATTTGTATCGGGGTGATTGGCCGCCACGGTCAACAGCGGATTAGCTTCGCTGTCTAATTGAAGTTCGCAGAGACAATCAGCCAGAATGGCCCTTGTAAACGAGGTACTTTCGTTGTCATACCCGTCTCTTTCTTCCAGGAATGTGAGGCTTGATCTCAAGTAGTCGCAGGCTTCACCAAATTCTCCCTTCA